CTTAAATACTTAAAAACCCAGAAGATGAATTCATTGAAAAGTACAAAACCGCACTAATCCCTCCGCTGATGGAGCGACAGGCTGACGGGGAGGAAGAGCCAAATTCCTGCAGACGGCTAACCAGAAATCCAGAATCTCTCCTGTCGTCACATGTTTCAAGCTGCCTTAAAAACTTGTCAGTGACTCCTACAGAAATTTTAGGTGTCAGGCAGAAATGAAACAAAAATTGGATTTTTATTTCTTTAAAAAAAAAAAAAAAAAAAAAAAGATCACAGGACATCCTTAAGCCTCAACAACATGGCCATGAGGTAAGCCTAAATGACTAAAACACTGTTCACGTGCATCTGTTTACAAAGAAACCCCATCTTCAGCCATCTCCCATCCACTGCAAGGACTCACCCGACAGTGGGGCACGTGAAACCACCAAGGTCTCACGCATCTGCTCGGCTTTAACCAAAGGCTCGTTTCACCTCCAACGGGCTCTGTCCAGCCAGCAGTGCAAACGCCCCTGAAGTTAAACATTTACTTCTATATGAAACTTGTGGAAAATATTATTTTAGCCATAATCCTGCAGGCCTAGTTATAACTCCATAATTGTTCTGCTTATATCCCATTAACTGCAATGCCTCATGAACATCAGTGTGCCACAGACGCCCCCTCATTGCAGCTCGTCAGTTTTGTGACCAAATAATTCTCGCTGGCCTCAGACGTTTACTCTCTTCAGTCCAAATTAACCAATAGCACACGCCAACATGCTAATCTAATGATGCGTGTCCACACGACACATCATTTCGACACACTCCATTCGCTGTTTAATAGCACATCTCGTCAAATTTAGACCTTCCTTTCAGTCTGCTTGTGTTTATACCCCACTACTGTATCTAATTATGAATAATTAGATGGCTCTCTCTCCTTCCAACCATCCCTGATTAAGGTTCTGTTGGAGGTTTCTTCCTGTTAAAAGGGAGTTTTTTCTGTGCCACTGTCACCAACAGCTTACTCGTCCGTTCATGAACTATTGGAGGGTTTTTGTGCTAATCTTTACCCTATAACACAAAGCACCTTGGGGCAACTGTTCTTAAACAGTTAAACAGTGTGACTTTCACATATTCTCTATAAATATCTGATGTTCATGACACCTGAAGTGAAAAACTTCAAGCCTTTCCTTGTTTTCATCAAGATGGTTACTGCTTACAGCTCATAAAAATCAGAAATCCAGCACTGCAAACAATTAGATCATTAATTTAGACTTTGATAAAAAAAAAAAAAAATTATATAACACAGTTTAAACAGATCTTCTTCTAGCTCTGTGCGCACAACTGCAATCACGAGTAAGACTGCTGACTTGACGATTATCGACACCCTCCAGGAGAAGGGTGAACCACAGCAGGTCATTGCTGAGAAGGCTGGCTGTTCACTGAGTGACGTATCCAAGCATATTGATGTTGGCTGGAGAAGAAAAAATGAGGTAGGATCCGTTGATTCAAGAATATTACAACACTAAACACAATCACCAAGTAGCCACTGATTTTTTTATAGACCGACTTGTATGATTAAGCCACTAGTTTGCGGTGATTAGGTGGCATCTTATTTTATCAAACCAAGTGTGTTTAGTGTCAGTTGAGACGATTTAATTCAAGTTTTCTCTCCTCATATTATCTCAGGATGGTGGTGCTTGAGATGAGCCCTCTTTTTCAAAGGCGAGCGGAGGGCCGTCTGTTTTTTTAAATTCAAGCGACCAGTTCTTCGTGTGTGTGTGTCCGCTCACATCGGGTCTTGTCACAAAAATCTCACACGTAAGCAGGAGAAGCTGTCGCATCCCCTGATTGTCCAGATATGATTTTCATGCCGAGCGTCAAGCTCGAACACCGCCGCCTCATTGTTTGTCATCTGTCCGTCTGTCAGGGAACCGCAGACTGATAATTAACACCTGTCACACGCGGACATCAAGTCGGGTTTTACAGTGTGCCCACGCACACTCGGTCCGCTACAGACGGCCCACGCCAACATGTTCGCAGCCACAGACAGATGTTCGGACTCACTGCAGTGACACTGCGTCCGCATTCATCTGTGCTACCTGTTTAATGTAAACAAAGGAGAAGTCCAACAGTGACTGGCAGCTCTTACACTCGCCGTCACTCAAACGTTAGTTGTGTTTTATTTGATATCTCAACTAAAAAAACAAAACCTATGGTAACATATTTATCTGCTCTAAAGTTTAGTAATCAGCCTCTTAAAAGGGGGAGTAAATTCACTCTTCTCAAAATGAAATTCTTCCAATTAGTGGAGAAATGTAAACATCCTGTCAAGCAGACACACCTATGGTTTCAATGTGAAAATCCTATATTGCTGTATTCATAAGATTGATAATGTGCAAGAGTTATCGGTTTAGTTAACAGCCGCGCTCATTGTAGTGAAACAATGTGACAGTTGGTGTTAAAACGGTGGCACACAAATAAAATCACCTCCAACTTATCGACCCAAAAATCTAATAACATTTCCCACAAGTCTACATTTTCACTCCACACGTGCTCTCATAATTAAAAATAAAAGCAGAAGCCCAGACATTTACCTCATTTACCTCGATCTGTTTTGCATTCATATTTATTAAATATCAAAGGTAGCAATTCGCTGGAATTGAGTGCATCACAGCGAGCACTGAAGGGCAAACGCTGGATGGAAACCACAGAATGAAGCGCGCACACAGCAGAAACGAGACAGGAAAATCAAGAGATGGAGAGCTGCAATCATGAGCTCATACTGTTTGACGTCAACACCACCAATCCCACCAGACGTACCCTTCCTTTGTTCTCCAGCCTGGACTTTTTCTACTTTTCTCAGCAGCTCGATCTCACTGAGCAACACACAGACACACAAAATCTGTGCCCAGTTGGAGGAAAACACAGGAAGCTTGCCGGCCTTCTTTGATTGGCACACTAACCTATTTCGAGTTAAATTGTGGGTCTGGTTGAAACCACTCGTACATGCACAGAGGACAGAGTGAAGAGGAAGAAAATTTTTGACGTTGGGCACATTAATCGTTCGTCCAGGTTTCCTCCTGCTGCTGCCAGAAGCTGAATGAGCGTTAACCAGCAGAGCGAGTCAGCTGGGTCATGAGAGGAGCTGAATGTGTTCCTCAGGGCTTCAATTAGTGCGAACTAGGTAGGTACCGTACAGCTGTGGTCAGAGGTTCACATTCACTCATCAGCTTGAATGTCGTGGTAACTTCGGGGTTTCAATGATTTCTTTGAATTGAAGCATGTGTCTTTAAAGATTTTACAAAACAAGAATTTGGTGTACAAGTTTGGATTTATTTGATTTTGTCTAATCCCTGCAGGGTTGAAAGGATTCATACAGGCTCAAATATATTCATACATTCCTGTTAATATTTAGTTTAATGTCCCTGACCAAGTTGCACCTTAGCCAAACCCTTTTGGTAGCCATCAACAAGCTGTTGGC